GGAACTAAATTTTAAACTCAGTATATAACACTTTCTGGAAGAACGATTTAGAGGGTGAGTCATTGAAGATTTTGACATTTTTGCCAAAAGAAAATGTGGAACTTACTAGGCGTTTTATGTTGGAGCTCTAGAAGCAATCTTTGAAACTTCAATTGACTAAACCTAGCATGTTGTGTGTATGAGGAAAGTCGCTAATGCAGTGTAACGCTGGGAATGTTATAAGTGTTGCACTGAAGTAAACAGAAACATTGGATATATTTCGGCCTCAAAAAATGGTAGTCGAATTGAACGAAAATTGTGTAGAACTAAATTTTAGGTTATTGTAATAAAGTAAACAGTGCTTCAGAAGTCCGTTTCATTTCCAGTTTGGAGTGAAAATTTTTGCGAGCAGGAAAGCCCTCTTCTGGAAAAATTCTAACGGTTTTGGCTTAATGCCACTGTGTATTAAAAAAGCAGCCGGGTATTATCTGACTTACTTCCATAAAAGTGTCATTAACTTTGGTTTGAGTAGTGTGCATGATGTGCTGTTTCAAACTTTCCGTATTCCGAATTTCTCGCTTTTTGGTCAAATTTCTGCCGAGATATTGTCGTAAAAAATTTCTTATTTTTTTGTTGTTCTAAGGGGCAGACATTGTAGATAACAAACATCTGAAAAAAAAGGGGGTTTGCCGAGCAATAATGTAGAAAAACGGTATTGATGAAATAACTGAAGAAACGCGATTTTATAATAAATCAAAAAAGCTTACAGAAAGTTGCTGTAGGGGTAATTTTTGGGAAAGGGAAAGGAAAAAAAGGAAGAAAAGGGAAAGGGAACAGAGTCGTCATGCAGATTTTTTATATCGAAATTTTAATACAGCAATGACCTAAGACTAACCAATTTTCTAAAACTAATCTTTTTTTTTTTTGGATGGAACTAGTTACTGTAGTACTGTAGTAAAGTTGCATTATGAATATATGGTATATAGTATATTACATAATATACATTATTATGCATAATATATAATATATAATGGGTCATTCGATGCCAAAAATTGCAAACTTTGCCAGGTTGTTACTTGATATGCCCGTCTTTGCAGAATTGTAGTTTAGCTCGTTCTAAAGAGAACTTAATGCTTTTTTGATCATTAGATTTGCCATATCTATCTCATGAACTTTTAATGCCTATTTATTTTTTTTAATTCTGTTAAAAAGTCACATAAATA